TAAACCCAGTTTCTTTGGAAGTTTCACTCTCCCTGTATAAAACTGGGAAGATGCCAAGGAAATTCAGCATTTATCCGCAACAACAAATGAATGCAACTTCATTAAACTTACTTAAACTTCTCTCTCTAATACAAAATAGTATTATTCAATGATAGCATCAAAAGTAGGTACCTATTTAATTAAAAATTGAACATAACCTCCACTACATCAAAACGAATATTTCCTCAGATTTCGATGGTGATCAGTTGTTCAATCAATTCCCAATGTTAAACTGCTTACGAGCAAAATCGTACAAGAAATAAGGAATCTAGAGTGAATCCACTCGGTAATGGAGTAATGTAGGATAAGCGGGGTGTTGGTATTTAATTTTTTCATATATTAAAGTGAGGGTGGCCGATTCGGCCGATTTGGTTCCGTCTTTACACTACTAAAACGATTTTAACATTTATACTGTTAGTGCCAAAAAACTTGTAGAAAGTTTATATTAAAAAAATATGAATACCGAACAAAGTGTGCGTGATAAACTGGCTTTACCTTTACATTATTGAACTTCTAACAATTGTTACAAATTTACTTTTAAATTTTTTGGAATTTCGTCGTAAACTTAGAAAATGTGGGACTTCTAAGTGTAGAGCAATTTTTGACATTGAATAAGTTCAATCCGTCATCATTGTAGGCACTACTTACGCACGAAGAAAAATGGGGTGGAGTGACTTCCGAGATTTTGGAGGCATTGGTATTGAAGCACTCGACGCAATTAGAGTCCGTGAACTTGCCCCCCCCCCCCCCCATTTAGAGATTTGATAGTCACATTATTGTAAAGTAATGCGCTCGTTATGCGCTCAAATTTGCCACCAAATTCGAAAATACATTTGGGGAGGGGTCAACTATATGTAGCCCCCCTGCCACTACGTATTTTGTCACTGTTATGAATGCCACCTGGTACATCTGGTTATGCACTCATTTTTGCCACTCAAATAGAAGCTAGTGACATTACTGTTTATCCATAGCAAATTTTCAAAAAGTGGGAGGGGGGGAGGGGGGCTAACGTTTTTAAAAGTTACTTTTTTCTATCACGTTTCTATACCAAATTGTACTCTTGGGTATGCGCTAAAATGCGCCGTAAAACATATCTGTGCGTCATTCTTGCTTTTTGATTATGCTTAAATATATTTGGGAGGGGCCAAGTGAACGCGGCCCCCCTCTCTCAAAGCGCATTTTGGTACCGGTATGTATGCCAACCAGCACGTCTTGTTACGCGCTCAATTGCGCCACTTGTATTAAAGCCATATATTAACCATCACGATTAAACAATAAGAACTGTTTCAAAAGTGGGGGGGGGGGGGCTTACTTAAAGTTTTCAAAATTTGTGTTCTTTACTTATGCTGAATCGATGTAAAATATTTTCAAAATGGTGGTACTTCCGAAAATACCGGAAGTAGCTAGTAACTTCGTTATTTTGAATGACAACTCCTATTTTTTTATTGCATTTTCTACGTGAAATTTCAGTTCGTTTGATACTCACACGTCGATATCTACCATTTATGGTTTTTAAGTTATTTTGACTTTAAGAAAAACAAGTTGTAAATCACCATATGCATGATGATAGCGCATTTTTGGTAATGCAGATCAGTATTTCATTAGCAAAGTTTAAAATTATCAATCTCACGAGTAATCTAACTCAAACTAGACTAGAGCCTGCACATCTACACTATAACAGAAAGCTTTTAGTGAAAATGTTAAGTCTCTAGCTATTGTAATTGCTGAGATCTCAGTCGGACAGCCAGCCATAACGAATATAATAGCGTATTTTTTTCCAAAAATGCGCTAAAAATGGCGAATGCAGACGATACCTTGATAATTGATTACTTGAAAACTGTTCTAGTTATGGTAACCCATTTTTACCAGTGCATAGAGGGGTTTCTTTTAGTGTACTTAAAAAAAATTATGTTGCGTACGACCGCACCTATGGAGATCCAAATTTTAAAAAATTTCAAAGACTAAAAACTCAGTTTTTTAAATGAAATTACCAGTTTCTTACTATTGCCTTAGATAAGACATATTTTGATATTACATGTTCCGATATCTTTAACAGTTTCCGAGTTATTCCGCTTTCATTGAATTGATACCATTTTTTCCGGATTTTCTTTTTAGTAGTCGGTCATGATTTTATGAGAATTGAATTTTAAACCAATTAAGGAAGGAATTCTTTCATTGATTGTAAACTAAATAATTAATTAATAAAAAGACAACAAAGTGATCAGCTAATTGAAAAACACAAACTTATATCCTGGAATATAAAATTTTATATTCAAAACTTATATGAAAATAGGATCAAGTTATTTTAAAACCCTCTCTTCTTCAACACATGCTCAAAATGAGAGCCTTCGTGTTGCAAACACAATTCAGTTCTTTTCCTTAAATGTTCTCTTGTAGAGTTTGTATCATTGACTCAATGGCTTGTAAGTGCATTTCTACTCTCAAGATCATGTCTTCTCTTGTTGTGAGAAGCCCCGGCATAACTGTCTCTTTTACATATCCCCACAAAACAAAATCTAAGAGGGAAAGGTCCGGGGAATGAACAGGCCCCAGGTTTCCGATGCAATTCCCTGGAAAAATGTAAAAATTCCGAAATAATGCCTGCATTATGTGCAGGGGCACCGTCTATCGCTGCAGTTCAACAACAATATTTCCTAATATAACGTTCTGTATTCAAATTTTCTTGATACACATAGAAACAGAAAGTTTTGTTATTTTTCAATGCAAAAAACACATTAAACTTCCAGAGCCCTTGGAAGTGTAGGTACTTGTCGATTTAAAAATAGGATTTTGATCACACCAGTAATGTTAATTATGTCGATTAAACATGCCGTTTAATTGTAGTTTCTTAGGGATGCACTAATATTTAAACCCAAAGCAATTTCCGCGTCTCGCCCAACAAATTAGTGGGGTACGCCGTGAAATATCCAAGGACATTAACAATATTAGCCTCATTTGCAACAATTGCTCTAAGTAATTGTTTTGGGGGTTTCCAAAATTCATACAATTTCGTTCCGCCTTCCCCGTGCGCCGTGATTCTGTCCATTTTACCATAAATAACAATAACATTCCAAAAATCTTCATAGGTGAAACCACTGCGAGCCAATTTTCGATTATTGAAAAAATTATCTCAACCCTCGTGACAACCTATAACAGGTGGCGGATTAGTGTCACTAGATTTGTTTAAAATTCGATTGCTATCTGAAAGAAAGCCCTATTCTTTCTCTATGTACTGGTAAAAATGGGTTACCATAACTTTTTTAAGTAATCAATTATCAAGGTATCGTCTGCATCCGCCAATTTTTCTCTTAAAATAAAATAACTTAAAAACCATAAATAGTAGATATCGACATGTGGGTATCAAAAGAACTGAAATTTTACGTAGAATCCAAAAATGCAATAAAATATATATAAAATAGGGATTGCCATTTAACATAACAAAATAACTAGCTGCTTTGAGTCACATTCTCGGTAGTCTACAAAATCAATAAACAAATAGACTGCAGAACAAAATTTTCTGTAAGTTTAAATTAGACATTCACTAGAAAACCTTAATTCAGTTTATTATTATACTGCGGAAGTTCTATAGCTTTCCAAGATGTTTTTTAGTCAAGAACGCTCGGACAGACATAGGTCCGATATAGGTACGTACACTATGTGGAAATGTGGTTTCAGAAGTACCTACTGGCCATATTTTTTGTCAAAAATACGCTAGAAAAATAAAACAAATCTATGGCTTAATCTTCCAAATAGCACTTGCACGTAGATAGAGCGATATTGAGCGTGACGTTTTCCAAACCTCAGTCCTCTTCTTCACAAATCGGACACGTACAACATCAATAAATAAACAGAAGAAAACTACACGTAAATAATTTACACGTTTACGTTATAAAAGTGTACTTTACCCGAAACCACATTTACACGTTAGCCTACATGAAAGGGAGAATAAATCAGCGCTGAAACCTCGTGAAACTTTTACGCCACCGTCTCATGTTAAGAAAACTGGATTGAGATGGATGAAAATTGGCTTTAAAGGTTATTATCCTTTACACGTACGAGGCGAACATAACTTTATTTTTCATACACAAGCCTACATCGTATAATTAGATGGCGAAATAGAGACGTATGTTAGGGGGGCATCGAGGGCGAACCTCTAGTTAAATCTAATGGATGATCTGGGAGTCCTGAAGTTAATCCTAGGTGAGCTATCTTCCTATAGTCTTAATAGGGTGGGAATTTTAAACAGCAACCGTCTTAGGGAGGGCATAATTAAGTTAGGGATGATAGCTTCCACTTTATGTTTAGTTGGGGTTGTTTTGCGCTGTGTCGCCGCACAACTTATTCATTCATATTGTCTGTTTGTAACGTGATTATTATAATCGCATAAGTAGTTGAACTTATTGTTCTCAAACATTACCTTTATTGCGGATGCCCGAATACTGACGAGAAGATATCTAGGTACGTGTTGTTGCAATATACAATACTTTGCATAAGATTTTGTTGTTGGAAAATGGCCCTAATAATTTCGAATGTTAATGTGTTGCAATAATAGTGATACTAAATACCTTACTCGTACATTTGTTTATCAAGTGTTTACCATTGCCAAAGATCATACTGATCTTTGCCATTGCAAAGGCAAGATCGCCTATTCAATCAGTTTTTTTAGTATTAGGGAAAAGGAACCTGCGGATTTCATTGCAAATTAAATTGCTAAACTCAAGAAGCTGGCTATTTTGCCAATAAGGGGGAGTGGTGACCGTAGGAGCGATAAATCAAAGAAGTTTGTCTCAAAATGTTACAAATATGGCAAATTAGCTCATTATAAACGGGACTGTAATTCTAAGAAGTCCAAGTCGAATAAATTTTTGTTCGACTATATACTTCAATGTTCAACCAAAGTTTTATGTGTTCTAGCTAGATTTTTAAGTAATGTGCGACTACCGTGTAAAAAATAAAAACTGTCTCTGACTATAACTATATTGAAATATAGCAACAATTTATTAACTTAAAATATGTAGAAAAATACAAAAATCTCAAGGGTAGAAATGGACTCCGGAGCAAACATTTGCAATCCCCAGCGCTTGGTCTTCACTTATTTGAGCGCTTCTTTCCAAACGGATTTTTCTGAGGACAATTTTGAGCATCATGATTTGTACGTCTGGGATGCATGGGAGGACAGTTTATTCTCATCTGCGCGACTAAGTTTTTCAATTCGGCATTCTCTTCATCGTTATTTGCCGTGGACGGCTTTTTGACTTTCATAACCCGAAAACGAAAATATAAATATCCCTCGACGCTCAGAAAGCTTTTAACGGCGGAGAATGGCAGGGCGACGCATTGCCCAGATTTTAAGATCGAATTCGCGTCCATGCTGTCGCTTTCGCAAAATTCCGTTATCTTTATTTTCCGTATTGGACCGTCGTGGATTTCGAACTCGTAAAAGTACTGGCACGCGTCCTTTTGCAAGCCAACGTATTGTATTACCCAATAAACCATTTGGAGTGAAACGTCCACTTTTTGCTTGTACCAGAAGAGGGCGCATCCGTCGTAATAGTCTATTGGTTCCAAGCTCGTCGAATCCACCGCGAAGTTAATTTTCAGCGCGCGGTCCACCTTGTAGTTCATACCGCAGTCGTGATGATTCCTGAAGTGGTCGAGGAGTTGATCATATTTCCCAACCCAGTCGCATTTCCATCCGCAGTACTTTTTCCCTTCGCACTGGAACGAGCGAAATTTACACTCCGATTCGTGTAACAGTTTCTGAGCCTGCTCGATCTTGTAAGAGCAACCCTTACTTTCGTAGGCGCAGGGAAAGGTAACTTTTTCTTTGTTTAGCTGCGCGATGACTTTTTCCAACTCGTCATAGGATACGGCGTATAATCGGTTGGCGCATTTCGGACAGATGGAGGTTTCGCCTTTGGGTTGACATTTTCCACAGATGGAGTGTTTGTTGGAACACTGCTTGATCGGAGGTGAAACGAGTTGTAAGCAGTTACAGCAAAACAAGTTTCCTGTGTTCATTTTCTAAAAAAAAAACTAGTTTTAGTATTACTTTATATAGATATTGAGCTCTATGTTAATTTAGTGCTATACTAAATTTATACAGACAAAGGCTGTTATTCCAGTAATTTTCTAAATATTGACTTTTGATAATGGAAATAATATATACCCTGATATAAAGTAAATGCTATTCATACGTAGATATGTTATCTATTACAAAATATACTGGTTGATGCAGGCTAACTGAACTTGGTATGTTCATAAACTACTTTTACCAATAATAGTAATTAGTAGGTATATACAATACAGGTACTTTCTCTCTAAAAGTGTCCCACAAGGTTATATCTTTGGACCCATTACTTATACCATTAAATTGACAGTAGATAAGCTCTGTTTTGATCTGACAAAACAGGGAAATTAAAGGTTAGTGAATTCACAACATTTTTCTGTTATTAATTTGGGTGGTGTTAAAGGCGCCGACGAGGGCGCCGAAAATCTTTCTCATGACACGGATTGAAATTATTGCTCAAAGGTATTTGCTCACTTGCAAAAACAAGGTCGCTACGATTTATCAAAGAGGTGCTTGCTTATGGGGTATTATTCGGAAAAAAATTAATAGCATGGCAACATTGACAAAACATCAAAAAGTGAATAGCGTTCAAAGTAAAGATTAACAAATGACATCGAAACATGTAAAAATATACAGGGTGTTCTATTTAACAAACAAGTTATTTATTGACACCTTAAAAATAGGACAGCCTATACATACAAAGAATATTTATTTAAATCCACGACCATATGTAGTTTACATTTGTACACACTGTTTTTTAAATCCGAAAAATGCTCTAGATAAGGAGGGTCGAATTTTATTGTCTTTGGGACACCCTGTATACTTATATATTGGTTTAATATATCTTTAAAGTTATCAAACAACTACTTGTATTTACATTTACTACGTAGGAAGTACAAAAATATACCTTGTACTGGACAGCGAGATTTAGAAAGTAAGACAGTACATTTAATCAAGTACTAAATGGATCTGTTGTTTGTTTATGTCCTGGTTATCAATTTCTAGTGTATGGGCTAGGGCTAGCTTTCAAATACCGCCAGCCAGTACATCAAAACGTTCTTAATAGGTATTTTTCTTTTGTGATTGTAAGATATAACTCAAACGGTACTACAGTACTAATGTACTGGCGCGTACTGGTTACCTTTGTACTGGCTATCTTCATGCACGCCAATCCATGGAGGTTTCTTGGAACTTTCTGTAACAGCGATTGATTAGCTATTAATTTCTATAAAAGTGTGTGATTTACCTATTACATTTTATAACTATATTCTCGCCTATATTACCGATCTGTACGTTTTATTCCTTATTTAAAGCATAATAAAGTTTACGATTTATAGAGAACAAGAAAGACAAATAGGTACAGGGTAAAAATTAAGTCAAGAAGACTGAATATACAATGTGTCCCAAATCGGGTGGGATTGCATGGGTAACTTTGTTATTATTAAAGATAGAGAATTGGTTAAATGGGCAATGTTTTGCAGTTTTGGATGCTTATTTAAAATTTCCTTATGGAAATTCAAAATGTCGCATAGGTTCGACGTAAATTCAAAAAAACTAAAATTGGTCATTTCCTTGAATGTCTTATATCATCGAAAGTATAAGAGATATAAAAAAAAGTTTTATATAAAAGTGACTGTCTTTGATACGCTTAATTTAGAATTGATGTCAAAAAAAAATTTAAGATGGCTACTTTTGAGGAACATTTACCAACTTCCTAAAGTTAAATGGGCGCCATATTGGATTTTTAGATTACTTCGTAGATTTTTAAATTCTCTTTTCAACGAGCTATTATAACATAAAATTGAAAATAAGATACAAGTTACATTAACGGTTTTTGTATTTTAATCAAGTAGTCTGTGACGAATAAAAAAAACAAAACAAAACCTATTCGAGGCAACAAAACAATGAAAATAATTACCTACACCAGATGTTTAAAATACTGGCCATTATTAGTGAAACACACTTCAAGACAGTTTAGTTTAGGCAACGTGTTGCCATTGATGATTCCACTTTACCTTTATTTTTTAATTAAGTACTTACTTTTATAATTTAATGTACTGTACATAATTCGTGAATTGTGACCTGAGCAGCCAGTTTGTTGGTAGGTAGCATAAACTAACCCTTCCTTCGAAACATACGTTGTCGAGAAAAATCCTTTAAGGAAGTTTATTGGAGAATTTGTAAATAATGGTGAGCAGTTAAAGATCCATCGAAGATTACCGGTCCAATTACATGACTTCCCATTATGCCATAAAATACATTAATTTAAAAAAATATTACTTGATTTTGGTGTGAAACTACAACATGTAGGTTTTCCTGTGACGAGTAGTGTTCATAATGTCGATTTGAACACTTCGCAGTTAGAAGAATAAGATTCATCTGTCCATATACTCGGACTGGTAAAACTGTTAGTTTCGATATTCTTGCGGATAAACCACCTACAAAATGTGACCTGGGACAACGCATCAATGGTAATACATTGTGTAAAATAAAGCGAAGTGTCTTGAAATGTCTTTAACTGGATAATGGCATGACTTTTTTCGAAGAGATAGTTTGTAGGTATGTAAGTATGGATAATAAGTCAATAAGTGATGTTATAAAAATCAAATTTTTCTAGACCTAATGCTTATATAAAATTTTGGAGGGAGTTGTAATGCACAAACCCCCCCCTCTCATGAGTGCGTCCCTGATTTTTTTAAACATCTCATGTAATTATTTTCATTGTTTTGTTGCCTCGAATAGATTTTGTTTTTTTTTTAATTCATCACAGCCTACTTAATTAAAATATAAAAACCGTTGATATAACTGGTATCTTATTTTCAATCATATGTTATGATGGCTCGTTGAAAAGAGAATTAAAAAGTCTATCAAGTAACCTAAAAATCCCATATGGCGCCTATTTAACTTTAGGAAGTTGGTAAATGTTCCTCAAAAGTAGCCATCTTGAATTTTTTTTGACATCAATTCTAAATTAAACGTATCAAAGACAGTAACTTTACTATAAAACTTTTTTTAATATCTCATACTTTCGATGATATAAGACATTCAAGGAAATGACCAATTTTAGTTTTTTTCAAGTTACGTCGAACCTATGCGACATTTTGAATTTCCAAAAGGAAATTTTAAATAAGCATCTAAAACTGCAAAACATTGCCCATTTAACCAATTCTCTATCGTTAATAATAACAAAGTTACCCATGCAATCCCACGCGATTTGGGACACACTGTATATTCAAAAACAATGTTTTTTTAAAAGAAGCTTTCTATGGTATCCAAAATTATAATGTTTGTTACCAATTTACGTACTTTCAATTTGTGGTCAGTCGCGTACTTCTGCATTATCAAAAGTGTTTTGTTTTAATGACAACTACTAGTTTCATAAAATAAAAACTCAAATTAAGGAAAACGTTATTCCTTTGTTAGTTATTTGAAAGCAATTTGTTGTGTCAAAGATAACTAAACAATTTTGAATAAATGTACATGCTCAAAAATTATGTACCTCTGGACTCTGGTGCGTCTACCGAGGCGTTTACTGCACACTTTTTTAAATGGAAAGCACTATTTTTCGTGACGTATTATTATAGAATGAACTTTTTTAAAAACCATGATCAAACTAGTAAAACTATTAAATGAATTATTACTAAACTATTTTCCTTAATATGAGTTTTTTTCTTAATTTGATCATGCTGCTATATACAAAAAAGAAGAATACGTAATGAAATCTAGTGGTTGTCGTTTTAACAATATATACCCCCTTTGACAATCTCAAAGTACGCCACTGGCCAGAAATTTAAAGTACGTAGATTGGTAGAAAACTTTTTCTAATATTGGAAAAGGCTTCTTTAAAAAAAAATGTTGTTTATAGGTATTCAGTGTTTCAAACAAAAATTCACCCTGTATAATAAGCTGCTTAAGCCATTGACCACTATTTTAGCATTGTGCAATCAAACCAGTAAGTTCATACAATCATACGTAAAGCAAAGGACCCACTATTTTATTTTGAAATAGCAATGGAAATAGGATGTGATTGCTATACTTATTGGGATATTCGGACAACACTGACAGCATTGATTATATAATCAATGCTGACAGTTCTGTTTTTAAAGACACAACAAAAGGCTTGTTCGTTAGGTACTTGAAGTTGCTTGAATCTGCTTAAAGTGCAGTTTAGAATCACTTCATATTTAAAGCAGTTTCCTACTTTCCAACGAACAAACGAAAATAGGTACAAAACAATGGATTGGAACTGGTATTTTGGAAAACAATAAATGACGAATGAGGATTTTTTAATTTAATTTATCAAAATTTGAAAACCTATACATGAACAAACACTTGCATTGTAAAATTTGGATCCTACCTTATTCCAAAGGTAATTGTTGTCTTTGCTTATTCCTAACTGATCAACAAATGTGCGTGAATCACCGTAGCTACACTTACACCAAACTAACTTTCCTTATGAGCAATGCGCAGTGGGGAGGTAATAACAATTGTATATTTGTTTATTGTACCATGCAACTAAACCACTCAACACTGTTGATACGTAATCTTAACGCGATTAAAATTTGTTGGCGTAGTCGTCATTTTTGTATCATTTGTTTAACATGCTTACGTAGGCCTACTGAGCGCATTATATTTTTACTTTGCATAAATCAACAATGAAGGCTTTGCTCATTTACTTACAGAACGTCCAAAACTGACAATTTATTTTTAAATAAAACGAATTTACTCAATAAAAAGTGTTTTTTTCTCGAAAATGATCAAGAAAGAAAAAGAACAAAATTCAGGCGTAATGTAGTAGAAGGGCAATAGCTTCTGAATTTCCTCGGCGAAATTTTTCACCAATTTGGATGTAATCTCACCAGTGGCAGATATGGCGTATCAATATGTCCGTGAAGGTAGCCCCTCAAATTCCGAATTTATATTCAATTTGCCGCTTACTAATTAATAAGTACCTATTTGTAAGCCAAGAATCTAAATTTGTAAATGAATTTTTGAATTTGTATAAAAAAAACAATTTTCGACAGCCCCATTATCTTCCAATATAAAAATTTTAGTACCGTCATTAATTAGTAAGTCATTTGTAAGAATTTGTAATCAAGTTGGCAAAATTTGTAATCAAACGGTATCTCTTAAATTTCAAAAAAATATTGTGCGGTTAATTTATCGGGACCCGTACTCAGGGCCGTAGCTAGAACTAAAATTGTAAGGGTGCAAACGAAATGTTGGAGGGTGCACTTACAAAAATGAAGTCTCGAGAGACTTGTTTGTCAAAAAAGCCAAAAATATATTTAAAAAACTAATTTTATCCAATATATATTATATATTAAAAAAAAACAAAAGATGTAACATAAAATAAACGTAACATAAATATGTCAATCGAATCAATATTTAAGCATGCAAAAAAATATTAGATAAAAATATAGTTTATCTAATACAATTTATTTATAACAATAGAAAAAAGCTGGAATATATTTATTAAAATAGTTGCAACCTTCTCTCTTTGGCATGAAATTCTCTATGTCTGAATCTGAGTTATTTAAACTTGTTACTTTGGAATCAAATTGCATAATTCTAATAATCATTATTGTACTCATACTACAAAATGTAGTATATAGGGACTATAATTATCAAAAATAATCATTTTTATTCAATTTTATTGCAATAATTATGAACAACAATGCTGAAAGGGGATATGACCATAGCAATCGAACCCTAATTAAAAAAAAAAAAAAAAAAAAAAACAATAGTATTGTATATTTGTGATAATTAATTTACGATGTACAAAAATAGCACTATTGTACATTTTTATTTTACGATTCTGGTCGTGATCGATCAGAGGGTGCCACTTAATATCCAGAGGGTGCCAGGAACCCTCTGGCACCCCCTGGCTACGGCCCTGCCCGTACTACTTTCAAGAACAATATTTTTGTTTTATGGCCGTTTGCACCGACAAATTTAAGTGGAGCTTAGCGTAAGCGTAGCTTAAAATCCATGGCAACCATTGTCTCAATAATCGTTGCCATGGATTTTAAGCGACGCTTAAGCTAAACGCCGCTTAAATTTGTCGGTGCAAACGGGCATTAATCGTTATTTACTAAGTGATTTGTAACAATTTGTAAGCATAATCTCACAATTTGTAAGCCACTTTATTAGTACTTACAGTCCAAATTACGCTCTCGGGGCTAACTGCACGAATGTCTCGGAACATAGAGAAACGGTTAAAATTGTTTGCATCTTTAAAGAGTGATTAGTAAGTCGTACGTTTTAATTTGTAAGCATTATCTCATTTTTTGTAACCCAATCACAATGGCCCAAACTTAAATTTAAGTATGTGCATATACTACATGCACACAGATTTTAAATTAAGCTTTAATTTGATGTTTACGAATTACTTGAAGTAGTATGTTATTAGAAAGTATTAATGAAGTAAACATCTGACTTTGCAAGTGAATTTCCCAATTCTGGGACACTCCATCTACATTGGAATATGAACATTTTGGTTGAATTAATAATTAGTGTGAAAGAAATGTTTAAATTTGTTTGTATTTCTAAATAGGAATTAGTAAGTCTTCTGCACTTACTCATTTGTAAGTTACTTTATTACTATTTAGAGTCCATAATGCGTTCTTGTGGGGCTAACTTCACGAATGTTTTAAAGCAGGGAAATGGTTAAACATATTTGTATTTCCAAATACAAAACACACATAATAATAGTATATTATATATCAAGGTAGAGAAGTACAGTATTATTGCCTGAGCACCAAGATTACATCTCGAGGCGCTTGCGCCGAGGGGTGTAAGGTGCGAAGGCAATAATAGACTTCTCTACCGTGGTATATATACTATTTTTTTCACTACTACCACTTGAAATCCTCTAAATTAACATATTATATTGATAAGAAAGTGAACGGTTGGACAGAATTTTTTGTTTCTTAATTTAACATGTCAATCAAGTACGTAGAAGTACAAGTCAAACAGGCCGTATTTTGTTCTGTCATTGAGATATTTTCAAAGAGTAATTTCGTTCGAATTTTTTCAAAATGTGATAATTTTAGGTATGTAATTTCTCTGGAAATGGCGGATGGTGGCAATTATTCATTTTAGAGAACTTGTCTAAACGTTTATTGAGCGAAATTTCGGGTTGTGTTTTCTAAAAGTGACAGCGTGACAGTTCTCATTATTGACTACTAGTTAATAATGTCCACATTATTAACCACTTTGAACAACTGCCGAGAAAGCCTACTTTACAGGTGGAAAAAAGGTTAATAATCATGTCATCAGACGCTAGTAGTGAAAAATAATAGTATATTATATACCGCGGGACTGAAGTAGTACTTTTAATCCCGAAGGTAAAGTTTATGGCCCGACCGAAGGGAGGGCCATAATTTACCTGAGGGATTAAGACCACTACTTCAGTCGCAAGGTATATACGATATTTTTCGTACTTCCGAAACAGAAGTAGTGGCGCATACAAAATGTGGAACAACCTACTGAAATTGCTTTGTTAGTAATTCCATCCTTCCGGGATTTTCGCAAAATTTAATCCCGGCGGGACAAAAAGTGACACTTCAGTACTTGTCATAATGGAGTCAAGTTGTCACTTTAGTCTCGGAAGTACGAAAACAAATATAATTTGTGCACAACTCTTGTGCAGATAAAGCACATAACTTGGTAAATGGTTGTATATTTGCTATCGATGTTTATTTTCATGGTAGATGATTAATGGGAGGAAGCTGTTTATACATAAACATTTATAGGCCGCCTGGCATACATTCAAAATCCTCCGACACTCCATTCTGCAGATATTTGGACTGAAAGCTTTAGATATATTTCGTAGGCACGCCACACAAATTTGAAATCATAAAAATGGAATTGAGTTTCTTCAATTCACCCAATCACAAATCAAGCAAGAAGTTATGGGCAGGGTATAATACTCATCAGTAATTACGAAATTGAACAAAAAAATTCCCCTTGACTAATAATCTTTGCCATATATTTGTCCACTGTACCTCTTGGCTCTTAACATACCTCCAACATGGGGATCTCGGTTATTTGAAGAGATTCGTGTAGTTTAAATTGGTGCAAATTTGTGGATTTTTGTGACCAATCAGTTAACATCTTCGGTTAACAAGAAGAGACAAATTTACAAAAATAATTGATGAAAATTACACTTTCAAGGGAAGGCCATAGAATTTATATTATAACGGTGGCTGAGGTAAGTAGAAATTGGCCCTAATTTCCCCCACAAAGAGCTTTTGAATAGAGTCTTGTTGCTCGACTGCCGTCTTTCTTAGCACCTTTTTTGTGTTTCTCTTGTGCTACGCTTAATACTAATCACGCTTTGTCGCCGAGATAACAAAGAAACCAAAATTATACCATTGCACGCATTGTCATTGGGAGCAATTCTCCCGAAATCCCGAATATAACGCGCCTGATGCATAATAGCGATTGTTTCATTATCTTAAAGTTAACTGGGAACTTCACAGAGGGTCGTTATATTATTTATACAATATGAAGTTGATTTCTGCAAACCATTTCCTTATTTCCGGCATCGCGTAACGTGCCTTCTGCTCTTTGCCTATGAATAAAGCAAGTTCCGGTATTTACGTCAAAGTATACAGCGATCAGGATTTCCCCCTTGGAAAATTGTGCAGCAAACGTATCGTAAACTTAAATTACATTTCCATTTTTGCGCATTCTATTTTATTATGTCTTTAGCCGTCTCTATATAAATACATTTCGTGACTCTATTTATGTTAAAAGTCGATTGACATCAAAATTGATTACCTTACAGCGATTCTCAAAAGAAAAAGCGCCTCCACCTTTTCGAATGCCATAAACGTTGAATACATATTACGGTCATTATAAATTTTCTCTTGCCGAGAAGTTGATAAGAATGTTAATTCGCGTTTTCCAGATTAGACGCAGGTAGGTGAGGTGCTAAAGTTAGGTGTTTATGTCGGTAAAGTTAAGCGGAATTTGTTGTTGTTAGTAAAGTTTTTTTTGTCGAGTTGATCCTTGCAATCTCCAGAAAATCCTTACCTTATACACGAGCGAGACTTAAATGAGTAAACTTTGTCAGAGAAAGGATAACAAAAACGACTTCTGGAGGTATAAATTTTAAATGTTTTCAGAATCTACTACCACTTCGTGTTTATCGTAATTAGACCTCATGAGCGGAATACGTGCAGTGAAAGGGCCGAATCGCCCAATAAACTTATAAATAAAATAGATATACATAGATATAACAAGTTTATTGGTCGATTCGGCCCTTTCACTGCACTGCGGGTTTGCTAATCACGCCACCAGCTATTACCTACACTTTGAGAGATTTTCGTGAAAACTTTTAAAAATTGAAATTCGGGAGTGTTTCTTTTGCCTCATCTTCAATTATACAAGATTACAGCAATGCTCGAGAAAAAGTTTTATGTTTTCTTTGAATTTTCCCGACTATTCAAATTCTCTAGATTCACTACATTCTTTTTGATCTTCGA